CGTCTGGCGCACTCCCAGCGAGGCCCATATTTGCATCAGCAAGATGGGAGTATAGAGTCCCGCTCAACCTCGTAGAGTCGCATTCCAAGCTTCGCGGTAAGATGGCCGTCAGCAGGTCAATGGCCGCTTGGAACTCGCCTAATGAGGTGAGTATGTTGGCAATGGCACCGATGGCATGCCACAAGTTTGGCACCAACCGTGCACGCCATGCCATGCTGGCAGCCCTCATGGCTAGAGTGAAGCCTCGCTGCGGTCGTCCGGCCTTATCGTACAAATGAGCCTTGACGAGCATCAGCTGGAGGCGGAGTGACAAGTCTCGGTTCTCTTCTTGTAGCTCCTCGAGCATGTCCTCCACCTTCTCAAAGGCACTGCTAAGATCACCTCGTCGCTTGAGGCAGTCAATATGCAAGTAATCAATCATGAAGGCTATGTCTGGTTCCATATCATCCATTTTGGACTGCAAGAGCTGGGAGAGTATCTGCTCAGCACCGTCCAGGTTGTTGTGGCGCAGATCGCGGGTGAGCTTGATGATGCCTCGGTACTTGAACCAGTACTGGCTTGGTTTCCAGGAGCGTAGCGCATTCTCATCGAGGGCCTCGAGCTTCTTCAAGGCGTCGTCGTACTTGCCCCTTTCTGCCAGCTGTACAGCCAGCCGACAAGTGACCTTCAACTCATCGTCAAAGACCGACTGGCGCGCATGACAGCGCAGAAACATCTCGCTCTCCATATTGGATAGATGCGCGAGACCGATACGGTCCAGTAGCGCCATTTTCATCGAGAGCTGGGCTCCGAACATGTTCTTCATGTTCTTCTCGACGATCAAATGAGAACTGCGCACCAAGAGCTCGAGGGATGTGGCGACGCTCTCCCCGTTCATGAGGCCCAGCTTTGCCTCGATGATGAGGACAGAGCTCCAGAGAGTGCCCATGTTGGTCTCCTTGGCTTTGACGCGAAGATATGCCAAGCTTTCCTTGCCAGCGCCGAGGACACTGTCTGTCTCTAGATCGCGGATCAAGTTCGGATGCGCTTGTCCGTAGTGGAAAAGCCAGTTGAGAGAGAAGTTGAGGCACGTCATGTCACGATTCTCCCGCGCAGTCGATACTGTTTCAAGCATGGTCGTAATTGCATCAGTGTGGCAGCCAAAGTCGGCTTGCAGTACGGCCAGGTTCATGAGAGCATACTGGTAGTAGAGTCGATCTCGGTTTTGCATCGTGTAATCGAAATATCGGTGCAAATAGTCGAATGATGTGGGATAGTCGCCTGACCGCCACGCATCGAGAAAGCTACCAGGTGTCAGTTTCGAAAGGGACGCATCGTCAGCCAAAGCAGCAGACAGACCTGAGATAGTGCGTTGTGCTGGGCACCACAACGCTGTCTTTAAGAAGGTCTCGGAATTTGTGTTGAACCTCGACAGGGACGCGGTTGCCATTTTCTATACAGATACAGTCAGCGCTCGCCCTACGACATGCTTTGGTGACCTCAATGACGTACTCTGCATCTGCCCGATCTGGAACTCGAGTAAAAGTTCGACATCATCCGTGCTCACGGAAAGAGACGATGGCTCGGCACTCGTCAACAGGCCGCCGTAGGCAACTGAGGCAAGAGCCTCGACACCTTCCGGGTCCCAGTCATCGTGCTCACCAACCTCGAGGACGTGGTCGAAGCTCATGCGGCCAAAGGAAGGGTTCCGTCTTCTCCTGTAGGATACAGTCGGCTGTCGGTACTTGACGAATTCCTTCCAGAGCTCGGCGCTATCGTGGAATCGTAGTCGGGAAAACTCAAGCTGACAGCGCCTGACGAAGGTCCCGAATGGTGAATTGCGCGTCAGGCGTATCCCTGCCTGGTCGGGTTCTTCGTCGCCCTGTCGACGTAGTTGCTCTTTCGACCTGACCATGGCCTGCGACTGTCTTTCAAAGAACGAGTGCAGCTCATGGAGGGAGTTGATATCCCATAGTCTGTCGAGGAAGCTATCCCACAGCTTTCTGCCCGGCAAGCCTACGAGTACGGGGTATGGGTTGAGAAGGCTTTCGAAGTCTTGAATCGATACAACGATGCTGACGGCCTTTTTAGCCTTGTCCCAGCTGGCTGCATTGCTGGAGTTGAAAGATGCCGGGTCGTAGTCGAGGACATGAGAAGTGATGAAGGAGAGAACGGGAATGATGGCAGCATTAGGGACATGCTCATCTGTGTAGAGCTCAATCAGGGATAGCATGCCAATCTTGGCAGGCGTGAGATACCTGGCCATGACGGATCTGCTGATCTGGGAAGGGTTTATATGGTGTGCGGGAATGAGTTGACAGTCCTTGTGGTGCAAACTTGCGTGAGCATCTTGATGCGAGGCTTGTGTTGACGGCACGGTACCTAGGTAGCTTAGCCTGTGCGTGAAGTGTACCTTCAGGCGCGGCGTTAATGGGCAAGGCTCAGTGGCTGAAGGCTCAACGCCCCTTCCTGCGAAGTTCAATGCCTGAATCAGATCCGTGGCATCGGAGGACCTGACCGCTACGTGAGACCTTGGCGTGATGTTGACTTCGCCGTGCAGCTGCTGCTGTTATGTGGACGGCAGGTCGAAGGTCGCGACTGACTGCACGTACCTAGTGTGAACTTGAGATATGGGAGACCCACCCGCGCGATTGGTCTAAATCAAGATTCATTTACGGCCAATCAAATGCTGGCCCTCCATTTTCTTGAGCTGCCCCTACCTGATCATAAGGTACCTAGGTAAGGTAGTAGGTAGGTACCTACATACAAAAGTAGCTGTGGTGCCGGTCCCCATAGATGTGTACCTGAGGTCGATCTCGCTCCTAAAAGTAAAGATAGCGACCTGCGTACCGTACGAACGACTCGTGGCCCGAAGAGCGTAACATCACAAAATGGCGAATCCAGTATTGCAGGGGAGGCTGTAGGCAAGACCTCATCTATACCAATCATATTGACACATGTAATATTTTACAAGGCGAGGGGGGCCTCCAAAGTGTTCCTCAGATGCCTCTCCTCCCAGACCTGAGGAATCATATCCGTCGAGGACTTCGTACACCCAAAATGCTGGCCTGATCGTCTTCGCGAGCCCTGCCACCCTGAGACGCCCCTCTGAGACCTTCCCCTGCCGGCTCGAGAGGGCTCAATGTCTCTGCCACTCGCAGTGCCACTGCAACGTAGGTAGTTTGACTGCTCGTATGAGCCATGTCAATGTCGGCTTTTTGCCTTCAAGGTCGCTGCATGAGATCTGTCGCGTTCATCCTACGACTTTCGGGCGAATCGCATAGATCTGCCCCTGTCCTGTCCATCGCAAGCCAGCCATCTCAAGTCTCTCGCCAGCGGATGCTCTTCCCTTGCTTGTCTTTCAGCTCACTCGTCGGCTCCCGCGCCTCGCCAGCGCCGATGACAGTCGCATCCTCCACGTCGACGTCGTTCGTGGCCCACATGCTCTCGATGCAGAGCTCAAACGGCCCGGGCACGCGGTCCGTCAGCCCAAAGCCCACCGTGCGCACCTTGCGCCGCAGCATCTCCGTCTGCGGCTCGACGACGAAGCCGTGGTTCGTCCGCACAAAGTCGTTCCACTTGACAAACACCGTCTCCCACTCGCCCGGCCGCTTGGCGAACAGGCGGTGCTGGTGCAGATCCGTCGGCACGACGCTCTCCGTCTGCAGGTTGACAAAGTAGCTGCGCCCGTCGGACCGGATGCGCATCGCGAGGTACGTGTACATGTCAATGTCCCAGAGGCTGCGGCCGAATGCCGTCGCCGGCCTGTCGAGCGTGCGCCACGCCGCGAAACCGGTGCGCTGGATCTCGGGCTTGTCTTTGGGCAGCTCCGTCGATATCGTGCCGTGGAAGCGGGCGTAGCCTGTCGGTCGGGGTGCGGACGAGGGGTGCCGGGGCTCCGTGTCGCTCGAGAAGGGCGCCCAGTCGAGGGCGCACTCGGAGAAGCCGCCGATCTCTTCGTCGGACATGGTCTTGCAGTTCGTGATGGACTGTGCGTCGGGGAAGCTCTGGAGGAGAAGCGGTGCGAAGGGACCTTTGACGGCCTCTGCCGTGAAAGCTGTACCAATGATCAGAGAAGTCAGTAGACGGACATGGTGGAGCGGCGCTGGGTTTGCGAGGCAGAAGGGGGCGACAGGAAGTTCCTCACCAATTGAGGCCAACCGCTTGAACTCGTCGACGCTGCGACCCATGAAGCCCTTGCTCAGAGCTGGCGTTGCTCGCATCGTGACAGTAATGCCGGTTGTATCGGCCGAAAGGTTGTTGCTGATGGTCACCTCGAGCCAGTCGGCTCTGTGCGATTGCAGTGCATGGGTAGGAAGGTGTACGTTCGTGCCCCTGCAGCACAGAGAAGTCTGCGTCGCTCTCGTGCCAGCCGAAGGATGGACTTGAGTGACGGAGGAGGAGCAACGGGCTGGCTTGCGATGTTTCGGGAAGCCTTGTATTGGGAGTCTGTCGGCTCGTTCGCCGGCCGGCTGGTTCTGGTCTCCACACGAGCTTTGGCCACGAGCGATACATATTGAACCCCCAACACGTGACAGAACAACGGCATCTCTTCTCATGCCCATGGATCCAGAATGCAAAGTACGGAGTCTACGACATTTCTTCTATGCATCTCATCACATAATTCTCGCCAATATTTTGTGGTTATCTTGTGTATTGGGGAGCATCGGACTGCTCCTGGGTCCTGGAAAAACAGGAAGAAAAGCAGATCGCGCAGTTGGTTCTGTCCCACGGTTTGACAAAAGCCTCCTCTAGGCCCTGATGTCATCGAGACTATGCGTCTAGAAGCTTTACCGTCGCAGCCCTTTCTTCATCACACTCCGATGTCGTTGATCAGGATTGTGAACTGTTTCTCCGCAGGCACATATCCTCCATGGGTATCTTCCCTACCCCCAACTCCAAATCACTGGAAAATCAAAAACGCAGCAGCAGACCCTGAAACGTGAGAACCCCAATCACCCAAACCGACCGGGGTCGCAACTATTGTTCGACCCGGGACCGGGCGCACGTGCTGGCTCGCTTCACTCCTCCTTGAGCGAAACGCCACCTTCCGAAGTGACCTGGCTGTGGCCGGCTTCGGTGTCATGGACACCGTCATCGTGGTCGTTGGAATCCTGATCCGTGGCCTGACCTTCGGCAGCCGAGTCGACCATGTAAGCACCGGGAACGAAACCAGGAGCAGCCCAGCTACTAGGATGATAGTAAGCTGCAGGCATGTGTGGAGCCATGACGAAGGGCGAGAAGTGAGGCTGCGGGCTCTGTTGAGGATAGTACATGGCAGGCGAGGCCTGCGGCGTCATCATGGTATACTGCGATCCGGCAAAAGGGGAGTATCCCATGGTGGCGGCGAAAGGGTTGCCATACGGTGAGGTGTGAATCCAAGGGCTCATGGGGCTCATGGGGCCCATGGGACTCATGGGGCTCATCGGATTCGCAATGCTTGGAGGCGGCGCCTGCATAGTGTTTGCCGGCGTGACCTGGCCAAGTTCGGAAGGAGTGCTGGCAGCCGCCTGTAACTCCTGATGATGGTGATGCACCTGCTTCATTGGCGTCTCCTGAATGTTGTTGGGAGCGCCGAGGAGATGTCCCTCGCCGATCTCTCTGGGAGCCGAGTTGGTCATGACCTGAGGGTACAGCTCACGGTTAACATGGCTCTGAGCTGAAAAAGGGCCCTGAGAACGGTTGGGAGGGAAGGGATGCATGATCCTCCTCTGCACACGAAGGAAGCCCTGGTTGTCGGGAGCGACAAGTCCGTTCTGCCACGACACACAAGTCAGTCAAGAGTCCAGAGCAAGGCCCAAAGCTATGTGCTACTGACACTTACCAACTGGGCAATCGCAGCATCAGCGACATCAGCGTGATCAAATTCAACAAAGGCATACGCCCGACGGCCGTCTAGAGCTGTGTCAGCAAATTGAGATCCGGACGCAATCGCTGCGTGATTTTGACTCACTGTTGGTGGTGGTCTGCCGAAGCTGAACCCTCTGCACTCGGTTGAATCCGCTGACGATGGCACGAACAGCGCCTTCGTCAATGTCGACAGGCAAGTTGGCGATGTAAATGGACCGGCCGTTTGATCCATACTTATCATTCGGGGCATGATGGCCACCTCCCGGTACCGGAATCCTGTCTGAAGTGTCCCTATGATTGAAAGGACGAACATTGTAGGTCATGTGGTTGGCGAAGACACCGACGACGTCACGGCGGGGATCGAACAGATCGTACGTGACAAGCCAGGCCGTCTCAGGAAAGTTGGTCAGGGACTGAGTCTGAGAGTGGAGGGGCTCAACTCGGGCAAGGGTGCCCTGAACTTCCATGAGGTTGGTCACCTCAGCACGGGTCATGACCGAACCATCTCGGCGGTATAGGACGAATTGGCCTAGCAAGATTAGCGGGATCTCTTGGACAAGGTTGAGGATCCATTCAACGTACAATTTCCCTTCACACGCTCGGTGCGACAGGCTCGACCAAGAATGATACTGCCTCTTCCCTTCAAGAGGGCAGTGCGTGCATTCTGGGCATTCTGAAAAGGCGTCAGTAAGGAGCAACAAGAACAACTGGGAGCGCCAGTCCGGGTGTTTGGGATACCGACAGTGAACTGAGCGAAGCCGTACGGCATCTGGTTCCGAGTATCACGGCGAATCTTGACAAAAACCGTACCAAACTTTGAAAACGTCTCGGTGACGGCAGCCTCAAGAGTCTCGTCGCTCTGAGACTGAGGAAGACTGCAAAAGGTTTGCCCGTCAGTATCAAGCCCTGGGATCGACTCAGGGAGGGCATACTTGGCAACGAAGACGCAGAACTCGGACGAGTAAAACTCCTGTGCGTCGGGCACGCGGTCCTCATGGAAACCAAGAACGCGAGCCTTCGAGGGCGAAGTCTCAGCCTGGACCATGGACGAAGAGATAGGAGCAGGGGGAGGGGCAGTGATGGTCAGAGCACCAGGGCCTCCCTGGAAAACGTCATCCTCGGCAGGCAAGTCAACATCGGTGCTGGGGAGTGTTAGCTCTTGACTTCACACACATGAGAGTGCAACTGACCGCGGCTGGCTGATAACCAATCGACCAAGGCCGAGATCGTCGGGGAGTTTGCCGCCAGACGCCATCTTGACTAGTCGGAGGGCGGGTAGTCACTATATTGATGGACACGCTGGTGTCTTCCCTTGGGGCTGTGTAGTGTTAGTAGTGGTCAAGCTGTTGCAGCGGCTCCTTCTTCTTAAGAAGTGACAAAGATAGGGAAGGAGGACGCCAGGCGAGGTGAACAGGACGAGCCATACCGGAAGGAGCAGATCGAAGAGAGAAAACCGGACGAATAAGACCGGACGATCTAAAGAAGTAAGCTTGTGAGGAGCAGAAGGGCTGCTGGTGGTTGCAAGAGCAGGAAGTTGGGCGAGATCGAATACCCTTTTACTTTCGCTGTCGGTGAGGGAAAGAGAGGGAATCAGTCGAGAACAAGCGAGGATCTGCTGCTCGTGCTTCGAAAAGCTGTGGAAGGATACCAGGACCTTGTTGCCTTCTCTGTAGTAGCCAAGAGAAAGGTAAAGGAGCGAGATCGAAGTTCTACTGATGCAGACCGTGCTTGGGAGGCAGGCAAGATGAAAGAATATGGGCGAGATCGAAAGGTAGGGCAGCGAAGATCAAAACAGAGAAGGAATACACGTACCGTATTAACGTCGAGTTGTTGTATGGGCTGGGAGGATAATCGGTGTTTGGGGCACCTAGAGTAGAAGAAAGGGTTGCTGACGGGAGTTGTCAGTGGGACAAAGAGTTCGACCAAAAGGCTTTTGGTAGAGGAGGTTTACCCAGAAGTACCGAATTCCGCTGGTGGGGAAGCAGGAGTGTTGAATCACAGAAGTAGATGAACGGGTTGGGGCCTGCCAATATCGTGAAGCTGCGTGAGGAATCACGATACTACTTTTCCCAATGAACGTGAACGTGAACGTGTATGTGTGTATTCGTCAACGATAGGCGGAAGGAACACGTACATCTAGCGAGACGCGTTTCAAGTGTTAGAGCAACTGCCCTGAGTAGTGGCTGTGGCGTCTGCCCTCTTCATGTGACTAGGGGACGATACAAGGTGCCTACCTACTTGTGACTCTGACAGCTCAAGATGACGCCCCGGCTTTTGTCGTTGCCCCTCTCAGAGCCATGATACCAACAGGGTTATCCATCCTCAAGACCTAGAGGAAGCGCACCATGCACTAGGTCATGAAAGGCACATCGGCTGACCAAGATCTTCTCCATTTACCTCTATCAAGTGTCACCAACAAGTCATCATTGATAGCTGAGGCTCCCGCCAACGCTCATGCAGACTATCTGTAACCGACGCCAGTACCAGAATGCAGATGGTCATCATGGTCGTAACGTTCCTCCAGTCCCACGTCCACAGATACAAAGTCCGCGACGGTCACACGCTGCAGCGCTGCAGCGACCATCCGAGTTTACGGAAGGATACCTGTAGATACTACAAATCAGTATTCAGTGATGAGGGTACGGCCGTATGCCGCTCACAAGTTTAACTCTCGCAGGATGAAGAACTCCATCAGCGTTGCTGTCTACGGGCCACAGGTGTTATGCTATGGAGTACATCCTGATTCATGCCATTGAAGGCGGCGCATAGCCCAAATTCAAATCAGCGACCAAGTCATGCCATCCTATAGCCTTAACTAGAGGGATCCTCTTAAAAAGCGCTTTCGGGATTGACACCATTATTGAGCAGCACTCTTATAACTGGTAGGTGCCTATATTCCACTGCCTATGACAACACTATTTAGGATCCCTTCTCTAAATTACTAGCTCGAGCCTTGGTAATTACTTCTACAACTCCCGGAACGTCTTATTGTACTGCCTCGGCTAGGGGAGTTAACGCTTTTGCTCCAGATAAGTATACTAACTATGCCGTAATAGCTATTACTGGCGGCCTACGAGAGAGGGGTTCCCCCCTCTTTCTCTTATATTTGCATGGATGTATCATTCTATACGTACCTTAGCTCATGTCATTGAGATCGCGATCTTGCGAGCTGACGTCGTGGCTTCTTCCGCATGGGCAGATATCGGGATTGCAAGGCTGAAGGGAGATGCATGGGATGGGGGAGAGAGTCGAGCTTGTGGTCGCAAAGCCTCGACTGACCTCCCCCCAAATAACATGAGCAGAGGCGATGTGCCCATAGCCCAGGGCAGACCACCAAAAACCACGGAGCGAAGCGTCGATAGCCAATAGCTAATAACGAAAGCTGGATGGTGGCCAACTTGACAGTGTGCTAACAGAGCTCAAACGGCATTGTCACCACATTTGGTAGTATCCCGGGAAGAATTTCATATATGGCGCCTTGCACCTATAGGTAGCCACTAAAGTTGGTGCGTTAATGGACCACCAACGTCGAATCTTGTCAGAGCGTTGTTTAGAACAGAGTGAAGGGGTCTTCCACAGGGTCCGCAGGTAGTTAGAATATAGGTATGGGATAGGAATACATCTGAATTCTGGCCCTCCGCAGCTTTGGGGGGGCCCTCCGCAGCCTATATATACATTCTCTCGTGACCCTTATCCCCTGGCCAGCCCCCTGGCTTGGCAGGCCCTGGGTGGCTCCGCAGGGTCCTGACAAATCTCATATTACCTACCTACCTGGGTAGGTAAGCAGAGGTCGCGACGAAACTTACCCCGGCGTCCTTCATGGGACGATAGTTCGTCACAAGCTTCCCAGCTCCTAAATATTTGTATAGGTACTTCGTTAAATTATTAGAAGGCAGTATAACCGCGAGACAGCTTATGTGAACCCTCGTTGCTAAGATCCCAGTCTCATTTTCGAAGAGGTCACAACTATCGGATGCGGAGGTGGGCTGCTTCTTCTCAACCCTACCCATTAAGCAATAATATAAACGGCTTTGCATTGATGAGATTGCAACCGTTAAATCAGACAGAGAGCATCAGCAAACATGACAAGTCTTACATTACTCACCCTACCCAATTGGAGCTCTCAGGCACAGCCAGAGTAATGAATCAAGGTTCGTAAGCAGTGAAGCCCTCTCAACACAAAGAATGCCTTGAGCCAGTAGAATATGCTACAGACATTTCTTTTCTCATCAGTCGTTGCATAGTAATCGTGGTTGTTGCCCAGTTCCAAAGACTGCCTCCTCTTGTCTGACGACACTTGTTGGTTTGCTGCCAGTCTCTTCTGCTGCCGAGAGTCATAGGAGGCTGAAAGCTTACCTATAATATGGTGGGGAGGTACCCAGATCTTTGCCATGTCACTTTCTCGTAGATATGTATGGTGACTAAGACAGGGATTGGTCTTGGTCCTCACGAAAAGAAAAGGTATCAGTTCGGACATGGCATTCGAGCAGGTACCGCGATTGCTTCCCGACTCGTGTACCCCGCTCCAGGAGATCCCCCACTATTAATAAGCTTGTCATTGCATTGTCCTCGCGGGATCCCTCATGAATGACTTCTGCTCAATACAACTTACTGATGCTTCGGATGCTTCGGCGTGGAACCTTGCTCTTCACTGGAACATCATCGACGGTGGATAAACGACCTTGGCGAACATGTCAGAAAAGGGGCAGAAAGGGGCGACTCAGGACGGCAGTGCCCCCTCACTCCTAGATCTTACCACGGAGAACATCACACCCAACACGATTCGGATTAGTTCGCAAGGAAATGATGCGCGGGTTACATACCTTGCGTCGCGGCTCGTAACACATCTACATGACTTTGCTCGAGAAACGAGACTGAGCACGGAAGAATGGATGGCCGCGCTGAACTTCCTCGTTCAATGTGGGCAGATCAGCAGTGATGTCCGACATGTGAGTAATCGAGACTTGCACAGAGCAGTCCCCATCGCCAAGCACACGTAGAATCTGACGAGCGACGTAGGAGTTCATCTTGCTCTCCGACGTCCTGGGTCTCTCCATGTTAGTCGACAGCATCAACCACCCCAAGCCGGCTGCGTCGACGGAAGGATCCGTCTTGGGCCCCTTCCACACACACGACGCACCCACGCTGCCGAACGGTGGCATCATGTCAGACGATGAGGCCGGTGAGCCTTTGCTTGCGATTTGTACCGTCAAAGACAGGCATGGAAACCCTATCGCAGGCGTGAGCATTGACATCTGGGAAACAGACAGCTCAGGCCACTATGACGTTCAGCGGCAGGACAGGGAGGCGCCGAGCGAGCGGTGTGTCATGACCTCTGACGAAGAGGGTCGTTTTTGGTTTCGCGGTATCAAGCCTGTGAGCTACCCTATCCCACACGACGGGCCCGTGGGCAAGCTGGTCCAGTTACTGGGACGACACTGCTGGAGACCAGCGCACATGCATTTCATGTTTGCCAAAGCAGGGTGGGATCAATTGACCACGTACGTTATCAGACCCTCCTGCCCGTGTTTGGAGTTTGGTACAACTTGATGAAAGCATGAGGCTGACCGAGGGACGTCCGAGTGCAACAGAGCATTGTTTATCCGCGGGGATCCTTACGAATCATCGGACGCCGTCTTTGGCGTCAAAAAGAGTCTGGTTGTGAGCCTTGACAAGGTGGACGAGGTGACGAGCAGCGAATTCCAGGTCCAGGAAGGTACATGGCTTTTGCGGTATGACTTTGTGCTCGTATCGGAAGAGGAGACGCTCGCTCTCCGGGATCATAATGCTGTGGCGGCATTGCGAGATCTGGGTTTGACGCATTTGAAGTTGGTGGATCACCTGCCGGTACCTGAACTCGATTAGGCGGCAGGTTGCTGTAAACACAAGGCGGCAGACTGCCGTAAACACAAGACGCCAGCGAATAACGATCTGTGAGCTTAGTCGCTCTGGCTTCCAGTCCTGGCTTCCAGCCTCACGAGATGCGTTTGTCGGCTTGCTGCAGTGGCATCTTCAATTCCAGCAAAGGAGTCCGAGCGGAGAGGTGGCAGCTGGGAGGTACCGTTGACATGTAAATCGACGATCGATCTCGGCACAGCACCAAGAGTTCCGGCACCTGTCGTCGAATCACAGGCTCAGTCTGGCCGGAATCAGGGCATGACACATGACGCAGGGGCAAGTCGCCTTGTGTGATTATCAATGTGTGCAACAACGCATGGCCTCGAGGGTCGGGGTCAGGAAATGGTCATTCTTCACATTCGTGAGTCAGATGACGGACAGTGAAGGGCAGGTCTCACCAATCGAAGCAGGTGGCTAGCCTGCTTTGCTACTGCTGCACCCGTCCGTGTTTGGAGGGTCAGTTTTTGGGGGGGGGGGGGGGGGCGCAGCTTGAAAGACATGGGCAAGTCAATACAGCAAGTATCGACACGGAGCGAGGCACTGGGGATCCATGTAGCCCATAACTTTAACATGGCTCAAAATACCGGCATCATGTGTACACCCTCCAGAAGCACTACTTTAGCATCTAGCAGCCAATGACGCGACGACGTCAGCCACTTGTAGCCCACCTTCCCGAGAACAGTGGGAAGTCGCCCACCCTCAGCCCGCCCAGAGTGCACCTGTTTGCTTGCCTGGGCTGCCTGCCATGCCGGTTCGATCTAGACATGGGAAGGTACCTACCTACGGGGGACACACTGTGAGGCAGGTTGCTGACCTTGCCCCCTCGGACAACCCGCCCGCCTCCCCTTCTCACTCGTCCTTGGAACCTCCCCGAAGCCGCTACCCATATTCAGCTCCTGGCTCGACTCCCAACCTGCGCGACCCGCCCACTTTCTTACATCACCCTCCTGACTGCAGCCTCATCGTATAAGAAGCACCCCAACAGCCTTCTTTCCCAGCAGAGCAGCTCTGCCGACCGTCTTCACCACCGCATCCTCCGCTCAACAGCCGAATCCTTCAAAAGGACCAGACACCGCACCGCCAGCCGAATTTCTCTCAGCCCAGCGAGACACTTGCCCAAGTCGTCGGTCGCTCGCCCTCGTGCCCCTCCACCCCCGAACCCATCTCCCACAGGTACCCCCGACCGGCCGAGTTTATGTCAATTGAAAATCTCAAGACCTACGGTACGTCTCCCTCCCCGGCGTCTTCGGTCGTTGCCAGCGTCAGCTCCGCGTTGCTGGTGTCCCCAAATCGTCCCGTATTCGACACCCAACAAAGCCAGACCCGCCACCGCCGACCGACTCGGGACTTTCGCCCCTGCCGCACTTGTACCGAATCCACCCGCTGACCACATTGTGACAGACCCCTTCGCCGAAGCCGACGAGGACACAGGTGTACAAACCAAACAGACTCAGAATTACATCCATATTCGCATCCAGCGTACGTGATCCTTTGGAGTCCTACACCAGCAGACATGCCGTTCTTCTCCTTGCTCCCTCCTTCGTCCTGAAATGCCGCACACGAGCATCGCACCCCCACGCTCCAAGCCGCTGCCGCCCGCCCCCCATCCTCTCAGCCTTGCCATCCACTCTGAACCGCGTGACGCGAGCACTCATGGTCGAACCACGCTGACAATGTGACGTCACATAGAGCGAAATGGACGTAAGACTCTGACGACCGTCCAGGGTCTTCCGAAGAAATTCGACCAAAAGAAGATCCTCAAGGTGATCAAGAAGAAATTCGGTGAGCCTGCATCGCTCCGGCAGTCGCACAGCAAGACACGGCTAACATGACAAAAAGCCTGCAATGGAACAATCGTCAACGACTCTGAGATGGGTGAGGTGATCCAACTCCAGGGCGACCAGCGCAAGGATGTCCAAGAGTTCCTCATCGACAAGAAGGAGGGTCTTGAGTTGGATTCCAAGACCATCAAGGTCCACGGCTTTTAAGCCACGACGCAAGTCGCCGCCATCCTGCTACCGCCAACCTACCAAGTTTGGCGATGCATGCTCGGGGACAAGGGCGGGTGGAAGAGCCAACGTGCGCCAATTTTTCCCGCTGAACCATGTTTCGCCGTGCCTATGATCTACACATCAATGGCATGCGGAATGTGGAAGAATTCGCCGAGCGCCGCAGGATGGCCGACCTTGACGGGAGACATGGCCACGCGGTCACCCGCAGAGGTGAGAGCGACTTGCGCCGATGACCATTGGTGCACGGCATTCACAGATAGCGTTATCCCACAAGGAGGTCACGGCTCTCGTCTGCCCCTGAGAACAGCCTGAAAGTTCTCGACTCCCTGAGCTCGAGCCGGAGCTAGGCAGGCTTGTAGAGCAGGGAGCAGACTAGCTGAATAGACACTACCTTCGCCAACACGAATGTGTTTCTACGAGTGACAATGTGCAACCGCAAGTGAAGTGACGCATTGGTTTTTTTCCTTGTTTTCATATTTTGGGGGGTCATGATAAAGCGTACTTGGAGGGGGTATCATCTGCGTAAACCTGCCCGACTGAAATGCAATGGATGTGCCGAGGGACGTCTTGCCTTCTCCCGACGAGCCTCGCTCGCAAGCAGCTGCTAGAGCTCGCACTTGGCGTCCAAGTCGCCGTCGTTCTCGCCCACCATCTGCGCCCAGTACTGGCGGCACGCGCGCACAATGTGGAGCAGCGGCGCATCGGGGTAGTCGAGCCGGCTCGTGTGGAGGTGAGCCAGCAGGGCGACCATGCTGACGAAGCTGGCGATGGAGAAAATATTGATCGAGGTCGACGTCTCCTTGCGAATGTTAATCTTGCGCTGCGTAATGTGATAGCACAGCGTCAGGGCCTGCGGGCGGGAGGAGGTGGGACACCCGGTCAGCAAAAACGAGGCAGGACGAGCTCGCGGGTGGTCGACCTTGCGGCAGCGTGAAGGAGGAGCAGGAGCAGGAGGGAACTCACGGTGGCGATGCTGACCCAGCCCGGGAGAAGCAGGCGGGCGTCGTCGAAGCCGCCGGCGATGAAGAGGATGCGCTCCGTCAGGAAGGCGTTGGCGCAGTTTATGGTCAGGAGGCGGATGATGGCGGCTTGCGGGGAGTAGTTGATGAGCCAGCGGGACATGAGGCAGTCGGCGAAGAAGAAGGAGAGGTAGGCGGAGGAGCCGCACTGGCAGAGGCGTCAGCAGGAGTCATGCGAGAGTATCATGGGCGGGCCTCTTGTGCGAGGTTTCAAGGGGGGGGGGAAGATGGAGAGAGAAACGTACCCGA